AGATAAGCCAGTCCTTTATTAGCATATAAGTGCTTTGTTAGTAATAAATGTAAGTAGTAGTGAATGAATGTGTATTAAGAAGAGAAAATAAAGTAAAAAACGCTTTGAAAAGCGTCAGAATATTTTAACTGCAAACGTTTGAACTAAAACCATACTTCACCAATAATGTATAAAATATGTGGAACATGTTGAAGTCAGTATGAAGTCTCCAGAAAAAAATAGGCTGAGACAGTCTGTTAAACNATTTCGTCTCGCAGCCATTTTCAGATTCTTTGTGAATAGGTCTTACTGAGTTAGGAGTCCTCTCGAGGACTTTTAAGCTCTCCTAAACTTAGGTGCTACTTTTAGGCCTAAAATACTTTGTGAATTGCTCTTAGTGAATAAAATTAGGAGTCCTAAATTTAAGACTGACACGCCCATTATGTTTAGGAGTTTCTCCTAAATTCGCCAGTTAGGAGCTACTTTTAGCCCTAAGATCCTTTGTGAATACGGCCCCTGATGTATAAACCCTGTGTTTATTTTGTCTGCAGAAGAAAAAACACGCGCCAGAGAAAGCAACAACCAGGAAACGCAAGTTTAAACCAGAGATGGGCTCAGAAAGGAGGAACCCGTCCCGTAAGGCTCGTCCCCGTGAGAACTTTGCAGTAGAGGAGAAGAGTGAGCCGCTCACCAGCAGAAGCCCCAGGACGATAGACCCCAGGAGACTGATGGAGGTATTTTATTTAAGGGGTTACATTAAAGATATGTTGTAGCACACACATTTTCAACAACATCTACAGAATACACCCAGCTTTAATGTATGCATAATGCAATGAAGTTCATAACAAAAGGGACCTTGCTTGATTTGGGAGTTCTCTATTTAGGAATTTCTTCATTATGTCATCCATAATGTAATTAGACTGTATACAGTAGATGCATGGGTTTTTTATTTATAAACGGGAAATCAACTTGTGTTTTATGTTATATATTTCATATAAAAGATTAATACAAAATAAAAAGACTGTTATTACATTTGGAGAGAAATATGTGCACTAAAAAAGACACTAATACAATCCCCAGTTAGTTATCTAGTCAACTTAAGTCTATAGAGTAAATGTCTAAAAATGAAATTGTAGCTTAAAAGGGAGGGAACATTTGAATTATTTTTAATTTGCAATCTGCCGGTCCTGATTGGTCAGGTGGACGAGGAACATGTCGGTGAGAAAAAGAAAAGGAGGAAGAGCCAGAGCTCCAGGAAGAGCCAGTATGATGTGAGGTCAGTGGAGGATATCACCAAAGAAGACCTGGACAACATAGCCTACCGCAGCAAAGACAAGATCTGGGACAAGGAGAATGTGAGGCACATCCGGCTTTACCTAATCAGTGGTCTTGACAAAAAAACTACACTGTCAGGTTTCTTGGGTTAGTGCAGTTTTTCACTGTGTGTGTGTGTGTGTGTGTGTGTTCTTCAGGGCAGCTCGTGTCACCAGTGCAGACAGAAGACTCTGGACACCAAGACAGTGTGTCGCAGTGGTTTCTGCGTAGGGGCCAAAGGTCAGTTCTGTGGGCCGTGCCTGAAGAACCGATACGGGGAGGATGTATGCGATGTGCTGCTCGACCCGGTCAGTGCTAATACACGTCATCTGTAATTCACTTTTTATTAATTGGGATTATTTTATCTTGAGATGAGTGTGGGGTCTTTTGGGACAAACTCACATCTGTCAAATCTGTGGCTGAAATGTTTATGTCACGAAACATTGTGAGTTACAGATTAAGAACCAATTTGTCTTGTATTTTATTCTTTTCAGTTTGTTTAGAAGCAAAGTCTTATTGAAGGGATAATGAATGCAAACAGGAAAAGTAGGATTACTATCATACACAAGCTTTTATAAGATGTCATGCTTTCAAGTGTTTCAAAGATTTATGTCCTAAACAATCTATATTAATGTATATATTTTACACATGAATATTAATATTCTGCGATGCTTGTGAGTTCTTTCTTATAGATTTTTCAAATACAGAAATGTCAAATTACAGCTTTTAAATAGAGTATCCAAAGGGCTTTTGGATGAAGACATTTTCGTAGAAGAAATGCTGGTTTCAGCTTACATTTCTCGTGACAGCCGTTAGTGAGCATTTGACAGCAAAGACCGTCTAAAGAAAAATAAGATATCCCACAGATGTACCTACAAACCCCAGCATTGCTTCACTTGTGTAGAGGAGTAACTACATGTGTTGGTCACCCATAATATATATTTTTCTCTCTAGACGTGGTCGTGTCCCATCTGCCGAGATATGTGTAACTGCAGTCTGTGTCGTAAGAAGGATGGCCGCTGTGCGACCGGCATCCTGGTGGGATTGGCCCGCTACAACGGCCACGACAATGTCCACAAGTATCTGGAGAGGTACGAAACCTCGTTCTCACTGAACTGTTTACTGTTACAGACCTGACTGGGATCTCCCTGAAACAGCCATGATGTGCACATTTTAGCAATTTAATTAAGAACAGTAAGTGTAATATCGCTGTTGGGTAATGTCTGTGCTAATGCATTGAGAATGAACTAGAGGTGCAGCTTGGTTAGTTTACAATGGAAGAAGGAAGAAAGGGCTCTGATGGCTCTTTAAGGTGCTTTCAAGAAGGGAGGGTGAAAGTACAAAAACCTACAGATAGCATCGGTCAGTTAGATTGCATATATGCTCATAAAATACATGAAGTGTTTGTTTCATTTCTGTCTGCCCCTCTTTGTATTAAGAAATATTGAAAACATTGCTGACAGACAAGAATGGAATAATCTTCAGTTGCAGGTCTTACCGCAGATTGAACTCATGTCTTGTTTTGTCTCCTTCGCAGTATTCAGAGGGATCTGAAGTAAAGTCCAGAGAGATCGGAGAAGAGAAGCTGCACAGTTTTGTAGAACTCATTTCAATGCACATTTTTTTATTTAGATTTCATCTAAATAGAGAAGCAAAAACGTTTAAGTCAAGGCACATACACTGTCTATGTTTTATATGTCCTCATTAAGGCCTGTTTCTGTTGTTCTGAAAGCCAGTTCTCAGGTTTGAATTGCATATTTTCATATGATTAGTTCTATTGTTGATGTTCACTAGTAAATAGCTTAGATATGGTTATTTTGTCAGTTTTTTAAAGATGCAAAATTAACCTTTTACTGTATATACCAACTTGTTTTCTAAAAGTTGTAACTTTACTGTATTTTTGTCCGTTCAGTCTACTGTACATTTTAATAAAGTATAAAAAATGTAAATAATTTTCTAATTGAATATGATCATTTATCGACTTCAATGGAATCATATTGTAACACAATAATAAATAACATATCTTGATACACAATTTCGCCATTTAAATGAATAATAGCAAACATATACTGTAACACACATTTCTCATATGGTCTGATGAGAAGTATTTAAAAAAAAATATCACTTTGGATTGTAGTTTAACTTGCTTAGGAATGTACAATGTACTTTTCACTTATTCAATTACCAGAAATGCTATATGCTATATAAACCTTTTTTTGAAAGATTTTTGGAGGGAAATCCATCTATAGTACAAGTAGGGGAGGCGCACACACACTATGCTGCATGGGAGTTGTCTGAACGTTTGTGTCTTATCTCCCCAGGTGAGTAGGGTCAGGTCAACTGTTGCTCTTGAGCCAGTCAGCTGATCCCACCTAATGAGCAGGTAGAGGTCTGAGGTCATCCTGAGGTCACCAGATCTTCATGAGACATGCAATGTGAGTGAGATATAGAAAGGCCATTACAAATGTTATCTAATCTAATGTCTTATTTCTTTATCTATAGTGTCAGTCTTGCTATACAATCAAACATCTGTCCTTGTTCTGATATTGAAAGAGTTCATTACGTCTTTCTTTGGTCTCAAAATGTTCACGAAACACCAGAGGCTACAGAGAGAGGTTGTAGATTTGGTGTTTTTTCATGAGTAACACGTAGTAGGTATGCGTGAGCTGCCTACTACGTGATGCTCTTTGTAAACTTGCAGTCAGTGACCTGGTGGTGAACTCCCAGAAGTCACACTTTGATCGTAGCTGGGTAACGCTTGGGGTGTAATGTAGGTCATGTTTTATTGAACAGGACGGCTTATTAGCCCGTTAAATGTCCATAACCCAATCAGTCAAAGCTGTTTTGTGTTTTTGAGTGGTAACGGACTATCCTGTAACAGAATGATCACAGGTTTCATCTTGAAGGCATCAATTTGGAGTCCCATCAACAGCAGAAATTGTCATTTAAAACAGTAATTGTTCCCTAAAGAGGCACATACTCTAATCAATACACTCTGTTGTCACAATACTGTGTGTGTGTGTGTGTGTGTGTGTGTGTGTGTGTGTGTGTGTGTGTGTGTGTGTGTGTGTGTTTAGATTGATATACAAAAATACCAGGGCAATAGTGAAATTTGAGACAGTTTTAATCACTTTATTGTCAAGTGTTATGCAGGCAAAGCATATTTTTTCTGCTCATGGTTGTCCTGTTTTTCTTTTTTATAGACATAACACATTTGTACAAACCAGTTTGAAAAATATCAATAAACTGGGGCCTTTGAGGCTAACCTGGCAAAAAACCCATTATCAAATGTCATGGAGACGAAGAAACATCTTTTAGAAAAAGATTTACAAATGAGATGTCACTACAAAATATCAAAGAAAAAAAAAAGTTGGTTGTCACACAAAATATTACCAAAAACATCTAAATCTGTTTGGTATCAACCTTTTCAACTTTAAACAATAGTAACTTTTTTGCTTACTTCTTCTTTTGTTATATATTTTTCTCCAAAAACAAGTTATGGCGCAAAGAGAAGAAGAAATAAAACGGCAATGGTCAGACGTAGAAAAAGAAAACAGAAGCACAAAGAGTAAAGAAGAGAGAAGCAGCACTACGGCAAAAAACTCAAACATGCTGTACACAACCTCAGAATCAACGCACACAAATACAAGTCCAGCAAAATAGTAGCAAATAGTACAAATCAAGGATAAATAATAAATTAGCTGTACACAGTGGGGCCCTGTGTATTAACATACTTTAAGGGGACTTTTTAAAACAAGATAAATTCTATAAAATTATATGATTTTTTTTTTAATTTAAAAATAATGTACGCACTGAACTAACACAGAGCAACACCACCAGAAAACATTTCATAATATCCACATAGCTAAATAGCCTGACCCACCCACAGCTGTCCTCACTCTGTCTCATCTTAGCTCTCTGTGCTGTGGTGCCCTCTCCATGTCACCCTTTAAAAATACAAGAGGCTCCCCCTTTTTCTCCCTCCGGCTAACGCTGAGATTCCTTCCGTACAACAGCTTGTGTTAAGGCAATTGTGGTACATCGGTCAGGGTAAGAGGGTTTGTCACCAGAGCACAGAAAGCAAAAAGCAACATCAGTGATGGTGCTGCTGTCCAACAAAAATGTACCATCTGATGTTCGCTTATCATATAAAAATTACTGTGATGGCAAAGCCACCCAGTGGTGTCTGCAGAGTAACACTCTTTGTTCGGACGACAGCACTGCTTTCGGATGTTCTCACTAATCTTAGAGCGAACTGGCTAATTTTATTAACAGAGAAAACTTCCCCTGACAATGTAAACATGGTTTCACTAGGATTGTCATTAAAGTATTGCTTTCACTACACAAACAAAGTTGTAGAAAGCTAGATTGTTTTTAATCTATAGAGCTTTTTTTTCCTTATGGCCACGGCGCCTCAATAGGAATGCATTTTTTATAAACATTTTTATGTGTGCTTTTTTCTACTCTTTTTTTTTTTTTTAATTCCCTCTCTTCTACAATAACAGTTTATCCGTTGACTGGTCTCAAAGGAATCAACACCTGAATCTGATCAGAGGACTAAACCTGAACCATGAAAAAGAAACTCAAATTAGGTAGATCCTCTGGGTGACAGCGTGGGAATTCAAACGCACGCTCATTCACACACACACACACACACACACACACACACACACACACACACACACACACACACACACACACACACACACACACACACACACACACACACATACACATACACACTACACAC